AAAAAAAAAAAAAGCCCCCTTCAATTAATTTAAGGACACAAAAAGCATACGGAGGCGCGACTGCCCCACAAAGCGCTTCGACACAAACATCGTTCACTTGTTACATCGGCAACACTGTTAATATTGTTTAGTTTAACCAGCTGTTACATACCCAGGAAAAAGACTCCTTACTCCGGATTCGTGTTTGTAACAAAATAGTTGGAGACGCCCCCCTCCGTTGGCATTGGCGCACACTAGTACACGCGTCATTTTATTTTGAATATCACCCGCTAAAACCGAGGCAGCGCCAGAGAAACAACAGAAGAGTCTCCATGACTATCGTCTAAACTCAACATCTGTACTGGGGGAGCAGAGGACTGGGAACAGTGGCGGAAAGTAATCAAGTACATTTACTCAGCTGACGTGCTTCAGTACTTGTTCTTTATTTAGGTGTTATTCTTCTACTCCACTTCTACATTTTGTGGACAGCTGTAGTGAGTTGGCATAATCAGGATTGAATATACAAAAACAAGTTAAATAAAATATGATGCATTATAATTTTAACCTGTCAGTCAGGCTTCATTTTAATTAGACTCAGCTACATCATTACAATGCTGCTAACATGTCAATGATAATAATGTAATAATACAATGAGATCTATATAATATATGTATACACATATAATATTTTGAAAATGTATTGAAACGGGTCATTCTGTATTATAAGAACTTTTACTTTGATATTTTCATACTTAGTATTTTGGTTTTACTTCGTTACATTTACTTACTAAGTAAACATATAAACAAGATGTTATGACTGCTTTTATTTATAGGTAAAATATGAGTACTTCTTCCACCACTGTCTGTACATTAATTGCACTTGTCAAATATCATAAAGGTAACGTTCACTCCAACAATGCCTCAGTATTTGTCTTTGCCCTAATTCATTTTGCTCGTCAGCTTCTCCCCCACATAAACCTTTTATTTATATGAATTATAATATATATTAAAATATAATAAAATATCATTGTGCTGGCCCTTCCTTGCATTTTATATGTGCATACATTGCAGCAGATATGTTTAATAAATATTAAATATAGAATCATAAATATAAAATATAAATTGTTAAAATAAATGCAAATTGTTTGGTGTGTATTTGTGCATCTATAAAATAACTAAAGCCTTTTTTAAATACTGTTTTAATTTCATAACCACTTAGTTCAAGTTACCACACCACAAGATAATACTTATCTTAACACGCATTATTCAGAAGATTTTCTTTAATTTGTTGACATTAATTTCATCTCTTACTGCGGTTTAAAAGAAGCTTTGCTCGAGATACCTTTGTAAGCAGTTTCGGCGGTGGGTGGTATTCCGTAGATGCAACTGTAATACAATTAAATGAAAATAGACTGGAACAATTATCACTGTTAAGAGTGGCTAATGCTCTACTTAAACCATTAATGAAAGTAATGGAAGAGATGCCTTTTCTCTTCACCTTAAGGTTGGGTTGTTCGGTAAACATCTGCTTTAATCACTTGCTATCAAACAATCACACTAAATGCACTTAAAGAAAAGTTAAGAGAAATTAAATAGATTCGTTAAGATGAGCAGTAAAAATCTTTTGAAAACGTTGCTTTTGCTATTCCGAAGGCAACACAATGGTGAAATCGGGAACGTTGCTTGTTTCTATGATTGTAGTTTTGATGAACCCTCTTCTGTAGACTACAGTTATGAAAACACACACATAATGAGACTGCTCCTTCTAGAAGGTTAGTAAATCCATTCATACACGATGGAGCAGCTCCATTCTGGTGGGAGGCTGACTTTGTGATCCTTGAACACTTTCCTGCAGATGCAAAAAAAAAAATACTTTATGAAGAGAAACTTATTCACAGTTGATTTGTCAAAGAGCTGTCCACAATTTTACATTTCTGTCTAATTACAAATTCTCAATTTGAAGAATTGAGGCGTTCTTGATATTAGGTTGTGCATTCATGAACGTCCCCATCAGTTCAAAAACTACTAAGTTAAGTCTCATGTGGTTAAAATGTAAAGTTTCAAAGATTTCAAACTTATACTTGCTTCCAGATCTATGCAGTCAAAGGCTCAGCAGTAGCATCAATAAACAGAATTCTTGATTCGAGGTTTGTTTCCCTGGTTTCAACATCTTAATTTTAGGAGGAAGATTAGAGGTTTTGGATCTCGAATGAATCGCTCTTGTTCTGTGAACATACCATCAGGTGTAGGATTCAGGGCCTGTGACGCAGTGCCATACAGGGATAATGCAACATACAAAGAGCAATGGTTTCCCCCGAGGACATCGTACCACACCCAAGAACAAGCATTGTTGAGAGAGAAATGCCCACATGCTGCTGAATTCAGCTCCCAGCATGCTTCACGGTTGCAGTGTTTCAACACACTGGGAGTACACATCGTTTTGTGGGTACTCCTTTTTTAACACCGTTGCTTACACTGCTCACTTTGGTGTGGTGGGAAACCCAACAGTCAAATTCACAGTACTTGTTAAGTACGCTGCAGTGTGGGAGTGTTCCCTGAGCCGCCACCTCTGCATTTCAAGAGGAAAGTGATGCTTTGGACCTTCAGCTGTCAGCCGAAATGACTGGTATTCATTATCTAGCCCTGAAATGAGGTGAATTTGGTTCAGGTTAGATTGAGAGTCGGATGTGTCGTAGCTTGAAATACATTTTTGTCTAGACAACACAGAGTTTGTCTGGATTATTAAATATAAATAAAACAACAACTGATCTTATTCCTGATTCATACTTCACCCATTGTAGTTCACCTATTGATTTTGTTTTAACTTCTTATCTCTCCATACTGTACGTTTTCTTTATTTTTTTTGTCTTTACGATACTCTTTTTATTCATACCCGTCTTTTATTCTCAATAAATGCCTGACAGTATACAAGACAGTCAAACTGTGATTTCAACAAATGCTTAATGGAAAACGAGTAACATTAAATTACCGATAAATCAGCTTAGTAAGCCAAAAAAACACAGCTTTATGAAAGTATACGTTGACATAGTTTGTATTTAATACAGTATAGCTTGATTGAAATAGTCATACGAATGATAAAGTAATAGGTTATAATAAAACAAATATAGAATGAATGTAGATAACTGTATATCCTGGGTAATCGAATACAATAGAAAAATTAAATAAATTGAAAGGAAAAATAATTCTAAAATCAGAGTGCATGATAATGGCAGCCTTAAAAATGCTTCACCACAAGCAAATTCAATATGAATTCTGTAGCAAAGAACACTTTTTCTTTTTCACCCAGCAACAGGTTTCTGGACCTTGATCTTGTATCCAGGTGGCAGGAAGGTATTGAAGCCCACGATGAGGTCGGGGTGAGCTTTGAAGAGCTGTGACACTCTGCTGATGACCCCAGGGGTGTCAATACTGGGGGGGGGGAATGAATGAATGAATTAAAATGTACCCTGACTGTCATCCTGCCAATCACTTCTGTAATTTGAGTGCAGCTGTTTCAAATGACTACAGCAATAACTCAATGACTCAACAAATGTAAGTTGGCTCGTCTGTCTAATCATGTCCACAGTGTAGGAATGAATAAGTCATTTATAAGTCAGTGAACGATTGTTGAATCTATATTCTGTCGTTTCCTTTTTACTCTATCAAACCTTATCAGCACCTGGTACAGGTATTAGAAAACACAAGCCATCAAAGAGAACCAATCTTGCAGTCCAACAAAGCTTGAATTCTTCAGAAAGGGCGTATCAGCGATGGTAGGACCGACTGAGGAGCCTCTACATGTACATTTTGGTACACTTATTCGGAAAAGGATGAACCTGCCTTTAGATTCTATTCTACTCTATTATGGATTCAGCTGTTCGATGACACGACTTTAAAGATGACTAAAAGTTAGGACTAAATCCTCAAACTCACACAAAGTCATGCACAGCTTCTAGTTATCGTGCTCTCTGAGCATTCACAAAATGACAAAACAATGCTTTTAGCTGCTGCAGAACAAAAGTCTCAACAACACTGTTCTTGTGGAACTGTTAGTGGAGGGGTAGCTAGTGCTTTAATGGGAAGTTTGTTTGAAGTAAAACTATTGTTATCAACTATTATTAGTACTGAATTGTAGAAATTACTTACCATGACAATGTTGATCAAGGTAGGACTGAACGAGTTATTACTCATGAAATGTAGATTTTGAACACTGGGTTGACTGACTTTGGCTGTGCCTCGTAGTAACACAGTATTTTTCTGTAAAATGAAAATGTTTCCTCACCTTTGAGACTTGAACTCTTTCATTATGTCCAGAAAGTCATTGTAGACCTGAGGCTGGTTGCCAAACTGCAGTTTCACTTGATCCAAGTAAGACAGAGCGTCTTCTACCTTTGGGACAGAGAAGAGGAGAAGTCCATTTTAGAGTCAATTTCATCAACCTGCCAATCTGACGTTTACTTCTACGTTTACTTTGGCAGCAGTGACCTGATTCTGATATGAAACATGTATACAGTAAAAGAACCAAAACTTCATTTAACAAATCAACAGTGACCATTTACCCAACCATCACTTTTTTAATTTACCACAAAACCAACTAGGGTTAAGGGGGAAAATCTGTGATACAGATGAACCGTCTGTATATTTATTTTCACTGGCATGGACATTCCTTGACATCGGCAGGTTTTCCGTTGGACTGTAAGAATCTGTCAAAATAAAACGGGCTGACTGACCTTGAGCCTCTGGAACTGCTGGCCCTGTGCGGAGGCTTGTGGAGCAGCTGTGTGGCTGTGCCCTGACAGCACCGAGGGCCCATGTGACTGGACTGCCGGGCTGTGGTGGTGGGACCCGCCGTGGACGGCTGGGTTCGGGGTGTGCCCATGCCCGCCACTGTTTTGGGCCACGGTGGGAACCTGGGAAAGCAGAGACACCTATGACAATGACGGCAAGTAGTTAACTTTAGTATATCTGGTAAGAATCACCACAGAAAATATGTATGTACAGTTATTTATCTTCATAAAAAGTGAGGCATTCTGATGGCTTATAGAAAAAAAAAAAAACAGAGCTTCAGTTTCTGACAGGCAACACAAACGTTTAAAAGGACAGCCTAAGTTCTGAGCAACGGGTGACTTAAAACTGCTGTATTTGACCTAATTCTAAATCTAAAAGTCAGAGTATACCTGGTATCCCTGGGGGACGGAGTACTGGACGCCTGCTGTGGGCTGCATGTTGTCAGACACGGCCTCATACACAGCCGGGGCTGGAGCGGGGGCCAGGACGCGATGCTGGAATGCCTCCGGGTTGCCAACGAGGCGCCGCTGCTGGGACGCAAAAACCGTTTCCTGATCCTCCAGTCGCCGCTTCATTATGAACTCATTCTCGTAAGAGCTGAGAGACCTGCGAATAAACAAGCATATGGACCGTATTTCACACTGGCAGTCATCAGAATCCATTAAATCATCAGATGTCATTCAATACTTTGTTGAAGGGATGTGGCAGTCATTTTTTAAGCTGTGAATTTATGGATACACACTGTGCCATTTCTGTTGTTTGGCTTGGGAAGAAAATGAGTCCGTGGTCTCTAATAATAAAGCCAATGAAACACCCAATGCTGTTAGTGGCACAAAGACGCCTGAGGGTTCACAGAGGTGAACTACAAGGCGCATATTGATTCATTGACTTGTCAGTTTGTGTTATATTTTTGGAACTTTTTTGGGGGAACTAGGTCTCGCTGATTTAAGATTAAGTGTGTGTGGGTGTCTGATTACACTTTTCTTTGCAGAAGTCCTGAGACTCTCTGGTAACACCAATCCTAGAATAGTACACACAGGAGATGTGCTGAATAGCTCCATCCTGCTATGTACGTAACAACAGAGCAGCTACGTCACCAAAGGACGGCTGCAGAGATGGAGGAGCAACAGTATGCAAAACAAGGAGACTTTGTGTGTGCATGAGCAGGTTGGAGGGAGGTATTTAGGAAAAAGTAAGCAGTTAGGGAAACAACAATATACAGCTTTTGTGTATATAATCTCTTTATTTGGACATTTTAACTTTTATTTCATAAAAGAGGGGACAATCTCAGAAAGGCCTACTTAAAGATCATGGCATTATTACCGTTCATACATTTTATCCTCCTTGTTATAAATAATCGTTTCATTATTTAAAGGCTTTAGAACTACAGAACTTGCAAAAACAAAACTGTGAAAATGTCACAAACAGCTTTAGGTTTACAAATGATAAAGAATAACTATCTTGCATAACCTAAATGTAAAAATCTTTTATTTTATCTCTTTGCTCATTCAGTGCTAAAGCGATGACTAAATGCATCTGACTGTGAACTTGCACTGAAAGCATTTCATTGGCTGCGGAGACAGAGTTTTACAGACCGCCTACGTCACCGATGCAACAAACAGGTGCTGTAGGAGCGTCGGAGTCAGTCTCCCATTCACAACTTCCTCGAGACAGCAACAACTCCATAAGCATCTGAATGAATTGCGTTAAGAAAGACAAAGCTTTAAAAAAAAAAAACCGACGGGAGAAGAATTAATTACGTTGCATTACCCAAAATATCGAGCAGAAGTGACACAATGGCTGTCTCACTGAAGTGTACTTGAGACGCTTCCGACAGTGAAGCTGTTCACCAACAAAAAGTATCGCTCCGAAAGAAAGCGAGGCTGCATTATTTATAGAAACCTTCAACTCCACATGGTGTAGTGACGTTATAGTCACGTACAGACAAATATAGTTATGTCCGTTAGCTACATGCTAATAACAGTTAGTCGACCGCGGCGATTCACCATCCCCTTTATGGCCTGGCAACACAAGCACCGACCTCGAGTTACAGCGCGACGCTTTCCCCACGCCCGCCATTTAGAGCGTGGTGCAGGAGGTTACCGCAAAATTAAACTCCCATTTTAGACAGGTAAGCAGGAAAAAGTAGCCGACTTACTGTCCGCCTGGCTGCCTATGCAGCTTAAAAGTATACGAAAGCATTTTCTTTTATATTATCCACACCGATAACTCGTTTTGTCGACAGGGTCTGTGAGCTGCCAGTTAGCTGCTAGCTAGCTAATGTAAACAACATGAGTAGCGCCGACAGGGGCTAAGCACATGCAGCTAGCCGTTCGCGACATGGTTTGCTGAAACAGGCTAATCTGGAGCAAGTGTTAGCTATCGATTCATAAGAGAACTCCTATCGGGTCTAGTTACGAGTGAGTGACAAGCAAAGAGAAGCCGATTCTCTGTGTGGTGCACTTAAAACGTCTGCTAACGGTTGGTCTGTAGCTATAGCTGTGCTAGCTTGCTGAATGAATTCAGCTGAACTCACCCCTCTCCCAAATAGCAAGCTGAAGATCCCAAATGATGCTTTGATAATCCGTTATTTGTGGGTTAACCGCTGCACCTGAAGATGCCAAAGTGACGTATGTGCGAAAAGCAACTTATCAGTGGCGTGTGGATTTAAAATAAACAATTCAAGCTGTGAGGCTGCAAAGTGAAAATCTCTCCCCGAGAGAGGAAAACAATCTCCGTTCGGTTAGCTCTGGGAGGGAGGCGGGGTTTTCATATAAATATGGACCCGCCCCCAGGCGGGCGCTATTGGTCAGTTCGATCAGCGCAGCCACGGAAGGGCGGGGCAATGAACCCGGGTTGTGAGTTTGAACTGTCAATCAATAATTTTTCTCGCACCGCCACCATGCACGCCCATTTTGATTTGAAGCGCGACAATACCAGCGGTGTGAACAGTCCCGCCTGTATTATGTTTGGTGAGTATAACATTTAAGGTAACTGTAAGGCCCCCGTGCAATGTTAATGCGTCTTTAAATTTGACTTTGTGGGGTTTTTTTCTATTGAAAGAGTGACATACCTCTTTATCCTACACAAGTCTGCTTCACATCTAACATATTCCTGAGGGATATTTTGTATTTCTATAGTGATAATAATAATAATAATAATAGAGTTGGATTATACGTTAAAGTTAAAATGCACATCAAACTTTAAGGGAAAAATGCACTTTTTGACTTCCATACTGGGCAACTGCAGTATCTTGTGCCTTCTCTCACAGTATACACAAACAAACTCACACCCTCCATGTTTTAATAACATACTAATGGATAGATATGTATTTTAAAGTACTATTATGGTTATTATTTTCTTGACCTGATAAACTTATTTGGGAGGGCCTTTAATAAAAGGTCTTGAAACTAGATTTTGACCCATCGGCTCATTTCAGGACACAACATCATCACCTTGTGGCCCTTGATAATCCATCCCGGTGTGTATTACATACCTGTTTGTATATATAGATTCACTATATGCTTACTTTCAACACTCATCTAGTCAACCAAACCTATTGCTGTACCAATACGACATAATACAGTACCTCCTTGACTTACACTAACCATGTAGACCACATCAAATCACCAGGCCCTGTGATTGGCTCTATTTAGAGTTCATCAGATATATCAACATCTATCTACAACGAGCTACTTCCTGGGGTTTGGAAACACGTGACTTTGTAGGAGGGAGTCCGCTTTTGCACTCGTGTCCCGCCTCTTTGTGGACGCTTCAGCCAATCATCGCATCCGACCGTCGTTGCAAATCCCAAAAAGGTGGGACTTCCAAAATAAACCATCGCCCACGACAGGCGGAGCTGCAACAGCCAGCTCGGGATTCCTCATTCCAGCCCAGGCAGCGGACTCAGCAGCGCCCGTCGGCTGCAGCATACAAACACACACGTAGTACTCCACTATAGCCTGGGTTTTTACCACACAATTGCGTGCCTTTCTGCAAAAAAAAAACAAAAAAAAACACATGCACCAGCCGACCAGCATTTGACAAAAACAAATACAGCTGTTTTTTTTTAACGCACAATATAGGATTTATTTTTTCAACAGCTTAAAAAGTATCGGTTTTCAAGTTTTGTGCAAAAGCATGCAAGACAACGCACTGCGGGCTGTGGCGGCG